CTAACCACCTGGGTTCGGTTCGAATGGATGACTTGAACTACGATAATGCTGAGTCGCTGATTCCAACAGATGCGAGTTTTTCCACAAGCTTATCATGAGGTACACGATCAAGCGGTCCCCGCATCTTTAGGAAAATCACTACTAATGATTCTCCACAGTCTAAGGAGAGTAAGATTGTTGAGAAAGGCAAGGTGATATGTTACACGTAGGTGTTTCTTCAGAAATCTATGTGCGTTATTAAGCAGGCCACTTGTTTGCAGGAAATCTATCACTTTTGGGTCAATTAGTCTCTCCATCATTCCACAAATAATGGAAGTGTGGCTGATTGGCCGGTAGTTTCTAACGTCGTGTCTAGGTACAGCTTTGTGACGTACAATAGTGGCTGTGTGGTACCTTGCCGTCCTTCTTTGAAAGATAGAATAGATTGAGCATAAGAAGAGGGCTATCTAACCCTCCTGGTTTTAGTACCATTGAATGAAGAGCAGCAGGGCCTTAGTATTTAGAGTTTTTCATGGCCTTCACTTGTTTTTTATACGTCAATGAAGATTCTGTTTCAAAGAGTTAGTTGGAACTTACATTGGGTAAGTCAAGCGACGGGGAATGTCTTCTCTGTAAAATAAACAAAAGTGCCAGTTCTGGGCATCGGTAATTAAGATGGGGTCATCGACGACAGAGCCATCGGGAAGCGTGATGAAAAATTTGTAATTCGTCGTAGGGTTTCGATGTTTCAAGTGATCAGCCAACTTCTGCTCTTTGTTGTTACCCGAAAGTGCCTGTGTTTCCTCCGCCACTTTCCTTGATTGACGAAGGGCTAAGATTTGTTGCTGTCGTAGAACCAGTGAAAAATCGTTTGTCCATCTTTACATTTTGCGAAGGAGTTCCATCTTTCTGGTGATTTAGGTGATGGGCTGTCAGCATATTTTCGATTTATGGGGCATTTACTGTTAAACAGTGAAACCACCTCAAGATACGTTCTAATGTTGCGATGATTTGAGGGTCAGCAGATAAATGGAAACTGTCCCATGGGGACGATCTAACGAAATAGGTAAATATCCCCCAGTGAGTGAAGGCTTGTTCACGTTAAATGTTAACGACGTTTGGCGGCGGTGAATTAAACGAACTCATGATCGACCTATGCTCACTGCCGGAAAACGTGCTTAGTACATTGGTGGGATTTTCTGGTACACCCTGAAAAAAAATGTGTCAGCTTATACGCCGTAACGGCGCTTCGCTGCCGCGCGACCACCACCAGTCGCGCGCCGGCTGAGTATACCGCGAGGACGCACACCCCTACGCGGATTCGAACCGGTGACCTCATGGTTGCAAAGCAAACGTGCAGACCACTCGGCCACCGGCCGACACCGGTACACCCTGAGTGAAGAGATCGGGGATTTTGTTCTCTCGAGTTGGCGACCGTACTTGCTGAACCCAGCCATGGGAATGAATTGAAGTAGCAAACCTACCGTACTTTGTAGATGAGATAGGTGTGCTGCAAGAACTATTCAGCATGTTGAAATCACCACCTGAATTTGTGGTGCGCAGCATGCTCAGAAGCGCAATGAAACACATGTAGTAAATTGTTTACAGTGACTGTATCGTAGTTTATTGGGTTGTAGACGCAGCCGATAAAAAATCGAGTTGATTTATGCGAGTAGTAACGAAGATCAAGTCTTTCTGCCTGCTTAGATAAGTGGACAAGCATAAATGTCGGCTCGCAAGCTGCCGTAGCTGTTGTATTCTGCGATCTGACAGGCAGCTGACGTATTTTCATTTAGCCATGTCTCCTTGACCATGGTAATGTGCAAGGGGAAAAGAGCTGATTGTTCGAAAGGTTTGAATTTGGTTCAGGATTGAGCGGGTATTTAGAAGTATAACATCGATGCTGTGCTTATTGCGTGTTGAGTTTACAACCTCCTTAAATATGGAGGGCAGAGGCAGGGTGGGCTGACCACAAAGGGAGGAGCAGTTTGGAGGCTCAGGAGTAAACGTGGTTAACGAGTTATGTTCAGCTGAGAGACCACCGTTGGCGGGAAAATGGGTGTTGGAGGTAGTGGAAAGAGAAGTTGTTAAGTGTGGACCCAACTTCCGCACGGATGGACTATTGCGTGTAAAAATCGGTAGTACGCTAATCTGATGATTGCTTATTGTACTAGTGCATGGTGCTGCTGCTACACTTGTAGGTCTACAGGACGTACCCAAAAGGGAGGTGATAAGTACCGTTGGACGGTTAAAAGCATAGGTACGAGACACTAACCTACTGAAAAACACATTTGATAAGTTAGAAATTTTTCGAATAATATTGAGCTCATGGACCAGTGCTTCTAAGGTGAGTTTCTGTAGATCTCAATCTAACTAGTGCTGGATAAGTATGAATTCTTCTCGGCGATCTTTAGGCTCTGACCACTTGTGGCTTTATACTAATTGCTTCACACAAAGTTTTTACAGTATCTCGGAGGTCTGCGGAGTCAGGGACATTTAATGCAAGGATACTATGAACGCCTGATGTTCTGTTAGACCATGTGGGGTATATACTGATATTATTAAGCAAATTCGTTAGTCATGCAAAGACGGCTTTGGGCGATATACAAGTGGTCGTAGGTATTTTACGTAATACGGTGTTTCCGAGGCTCTGCTAAAATTTCCTTTTGGGTGGCTTTTTCATGGCACCCTTATTTAGGTAGCTTGAATTATAGGATCTCGCATAGTGGCCCCGAAGTAATGACCTGGCTGCTAGCCGCGTGTTAATTTTATGAGGTCGTACATCTGTGACAATTCATCTAGGTAGAGGATAGTCTACTAGACAGTTCTGGATTGTTGGTGGTTTTGTGAGTAGTGTACCTATTGTATAAAGTAGAAGCGACGATTAAACTTTGCACAATAATCTGCCTCGACTGGGCCAGACTAGATTGACCTCATGAGTGTAGGTGCTCAGCGACTGTTACGTGACTCTTCAGATTGGTTTTGCGTTTATTTTTGAGGACTGTTGCGGTTCCTTTTGATAATCGAAAGCTGTGCAGCACTTGATGCACCTCGTATCATTATTGAAGAGTCGATAGCTTCTACTGTACTAGTGGATTGCGTAGTATTTCCCTTTTTATTTGTTCATTTAGTTTGGTTTCCAGTATCTTTGTGGCATGGTGAGGCGTTTCTGCACAGATGGCAGCGGTTTCCGTTAGTGCTTCAACCGTACTAGTTTCTGAGCTATTACATTGGGGAGTTACCCCATCTAGGTTGACTTCGCTATGGTTAGTATGTTTTATTTGAAGGCTAGTTGCACTACCCATGTTGGTATACAATTCAGACAGACTGTCAGTAGTCGTGGTAGTGACTATGCTGCAAGCAGAATTCCGAAGGCCGTCTGAAGGTCGCAAAAGCTGACTTCGCCAAACTTCTGTTTATAAGGTTCTTTTATCGGTCATTACTCTTAGTGTTTTGTAGCTGGTGCCTTCTGCTATCTGCACACCTTTTTGGTAAAATCCATTGCTACCAATGAATCACTGAATTGAAAAAGCAAGGGATGGTTCTTCCTTTCAGAGCGTCGCACATTTACACCAACTGCTTTCCACATTGCCTACCTTAAGCAGGATTTTTTTATACTGATCCCACAGACAGTTTTTCGGGTAAATTGAATGCTATTGTCTTTTTTGCACATCGTACTCTTGTAGACACTTCTGTTGCAGTAGTTTCAATGGAGACGCTGGTAGGTTTCAGGTGATCCCTATTTGGGTTTACTTTCGTTTGCAGTAGGACAGTCAAAAGTTCAAGTGTTTGGAGGCTTGTGTGCAAATAGTCAAAAGAAGCTAGTTTTATTTTGACCGCATCCAGCTCACCTTGGATAGACTTGTGTTTGGCAAGTGTGTCGGTCAACGGATAAATCAGTTTATACGATTTCTTTCTCAGCCCACGTGGGTTAGTAGACTTCTTCAAAACTGGGACTGCTGAATTTTTCTGGAAAGCCGTGGTAAGGCGTGTACGTCTATCTGACGGTTATGGACGTTTTACGATTAGATAGTGATGCAGGATAGGAAAGAATGCTATAGGACCTCTCTATAGAACCTAATCTGGACTACATTGAATACTTAAATGCAGAGTAAAATATCAATGCAGGGTAAAATATCACACCATCCTCGAATTTTTACTGTCTGGAGCGTTCAGGTTCCGCGCCGTTATTCGCTTGAGACACTCACACTAGTTACGTTTTCGAGTTTTCACGGTCAGGGCCTTCCTAGTGCAGAGCTGATGATAGCCTGATAACTGCGTCCTGATTGGCCCATATTTCTCTATCCGTCCATCGGTGAGGAGTGTATATCGTTCCTGTAAGTGCGGGCTCCATTCTGACCACAAGCTGTCGGGATCCACACACGTTGAAACACGAACGCGAGGTCCTATGGAATCCACAACTGCTGAGGTGACAGTCTTGCGCGTGTCGATCGTCACTGTTTGGGTTCAGATGTGGTCGACAATTCGGCGAAGCGGTTGGGAAAGCGGCTTTAGACAGGCACAATCGGTCGGCGTGAGCGAAACTGGATTCCCAATGGCTCGGTAAGTGTGATGCCATTGACTGCTAAGCGAGTTGCAGTCACCGTACGCAATGTTCGATGATTATCATTTAGAGGTAGATAGAGAGCCTTTAAGCTTGCTCCTGATTAAGTGTAAATATATATCTTTGCACACAAAGAATGTGGTGTTTTAGCTTGTGTGATTAGGCAAAGCTTCTGTCAAAACTTCATAAACAGGTCTAAACAATGATGTAGGGAGTGATTCCGGGTCTGTTGTGTAATGCTAGTGAATCCGAGTTGAACAACAGTGTAACCTCGGTGATCGGAAATCCACAAAAGCGTCAGAGCAATGGGACTGAGCGATTATCACGCGTTCTCGGATACACACAGTTGTTGTTGAACCAGGGGGATCATACTGAGCAGTTTGTTGACAAGTCATTTCTGCTGTCTCAGCACCTATTGTTTCGACAGTTTGCTAATCCTATCATTTGTGTCTTTCAGGCATCCAGCATTATTACGGCTACAGATTCTGTATCTGGAACTCCGCAAACGCTGGCACCTACATCTTACCCCTCCAGCGATATGCAGCCTGACTCCAATTTCACCCCGGTGCTTGATCTTGCGGAAACTCTTGAACACGCCGCTCCTATTCCGGACGAACGTTGTTCACCCCCACCACACACACTCAATAGTGCAGTTGCAGATGACGTGAATCCCACAGCGGCCAACGTGTTGCACACAATCCATGCCAACGACTCGCTTGATTCGCATCATAAATTGGAAACTTCGCCTGCAGAACCGTCTAAACCCGTCTCGTATGCCGACTTGGTTCGCAGACTGAATCACACCCGCCCTTCGACCAATCTTCGGGGAAAAGCTGGTGATGCAGCCTCCGAGACGCGTCTGTCAAGAGGCTTACTGGGGCAGCCCAGCGCTTACGACTCTATGGATCATGAAAATGAACAACTAGGCACTGGTGATTCACCTCACATACCACCAGCATCATTTGGCAGATATTCGAATGATTCTCGGGGTGGTAGAATGATCGGCCGGCCACCATCACGCGGTAACTACAATGGTAAGCTATCATAACCTCAAACGTTTACGCATCTCCATCTGTGTGCTGTGCTTCGCAGTGACCGATTGTGCTCTCCGTGTCATTCCTTCATTCCAGTTTTATGTTGTTTACTGTATACCAATCAATACAACGTTCCGAGTGGCCGCTCTGATCGTGTCATGGTGCAGCCTCGATACCAGATTTTCGCATACTGCTGACACCTTAACTTAATCGTGGGTTGAGATTGCTTCGCTCGGTGGTAAACTAACAATGGATTAGACTTGGCTAGAGCTGCGTCACGTGTCCGAAGGCGAGCGACAGCCCAGTAGGAAACTGAATATTGTGTTGTGGGAGCAAGTAGGAAGTTAACTATGTTGAACTTCATCGGAATATGCTCAGGAATGTCATAAAATGCATCTGTCATCTGTTGCTACTCTAATCGATCTTCAAGTTCTTATGTAGCATTTAAAAGTGCATGCCTCACCGTATCACTGGGCTCACCTACGTGCGATGCCATTGTGCAATCGTTCTGAATCGAATAGTGGCGACATGTAAATCCTGTTGCACCGATTTGGTTTCTACGACATGCTCTGGCAGACTGTCCCCAACACTTAACACTCTCCGTGCGAACACTGGGATGAAAAACTCGTTCCATATTCGGCACCATAGGCCTGTACCACTGCTCACCTGTGCTGCATGGCGTTCGCAAGTGAAGCAGCAGCATCAGCAAGGAGAAGTCACTTAGATGTAATACGTGGTACATCATAATCAGATCGACTCGCATTCGATGCTAAGACAAGGAATTGAGCCCTGGTTTCTTGCGCTGGTCTTTTACGCTGATCGTCGTAAATTCGATGCGAATCTATTTACGATGTTTTGTATCTGTTCGATCTTCTGAGCATCGCCTCGGGTGACTGGACAAGCGTTGGCTATCCTTACTCTAGCATTGGTCTTACGATGTAAGGGAAGCTTGTGACACTGTGGTCTCGTCAACTGGGAAATGTCAAGTGACACATGGAAGACCACTGTACATAAAGTGTGTGTCCCTTAAAACACGCATATGGTCAGCACGCGTTTGCGGTAACCACTCGCCATTGCTCATGCACCCAGAATTACTTCCAAACATTCCAACATATTGAGTTTCCGAGAGGCTTGGATGGTCTTGTGAACTTAAATTCTCTACTACTATAATGGTATCTAAACAAGTTACACTGTGCTAAGTTATTAGTAGATGGGAAGTTTCAGGAATGTATCCGGTTGGATTATGTGCACAGAATAAGTTAAGTTGGCTTGGTCACGTACTGCATGGGCGCGGTCACCGCGTCTCGACGAGACCCTTGGTATATGTAGAATGGCGCAAGACTCGAGGTGAAGAAAAGTTAACTTCGCAGTGAGAGATGAAGTCACTGATTACAAAACTTGTTGCTGTTGGTCCGTCTTGCCTTCCAGGCTGAAGTCCACGTGGCCCACGTTTTAGTCGACTCAAGACGTTGCAAAACATGGCTCGCAGTCGGCACCAGTGGCGCGTCTGCTATCCTCTCCTACTCGGACTACCTGTTTCAAGTGTGTCTGGTGCTGAATTGTCTGCTGGGTAATTGCTCATTATGACGCGGGGAAGATAAATCCGCAAGGAAGCTCTCTCATTGATGCCACCTTATCTATGCACGATAGTCAGCTGTTTGTGACGGTATGTTATTGACAAGATATGGACGCCTTGACCCTGAATGTTTGCCTAAAGCATTTGGGCTTTACGCTAGGTCCCCTTTTTCTCCATCTTGTTATTTTCATTTCAAAAATCACCGTGGTTGTACGGCAGCGAAACATCAGTCCAATTGGCTGATGTAGTGCTGACGCATAAGTATACAGCATTTAGGACTGTTTTTGCACTGACCTTTTGATTTTGTCAAGCGGGGTGCACTGAGTCAGCTATTCAACGGAGTCCAATGAGCTTGTAAGTATTCGGTCCTGGGTCTGCGAACGGAGCCCACTATAGATTGGCCTTCGGTCGCTGCAGCAACACTCCCGGACACGTGCAATCAATAGCACTGATTGACTGAGCGCGTTTATTTCGATTATCACGTGAGAGCCGTGCATTCTAGTTTTGGGGCCACAAGTGCTTCATACCGCCAAGGAAATCGAGCTCATCTTTGCTGGCTAAGGCGGTTTTGTAGTTGAAAACTAATGGGCACTAGTTACACTGATGCGTATGACAGACCGCAGGTGCCCTCGGGTACGTTTTAGATTATTGCTGAAGGGGTAATGACGGCAGTCTAGGGGTGTAAGTAACAAATAAACTATTTTCGCTTATCCGCCTTTTTGTGCACAGGATGACATTTTTGACACTAGGCGACTTCCTATTCTTTTCACAATTCGCTGTTCAGTGTTATTATCATGGTCGCTATTCCTAGTGGCGCTTTTCTTATGACCACCGAGTTCAGTCATCCTAACTCGATTGCCCTTCGTGCTCCGAGCGTTGTTCCACTTTTTCTGCACAAACATTAGGGAACCGGTAACAACCTGCTTTCTGTAGTAAGAATCCGTTCTTTAGTGTCAGGTCGGATAGCCTTGGTTACGTAAGTTATGGGTTGGCTCGGCTCTTTCCCAACGTGATTTATAAACTGGCTCTCCCCATTTGTCAACGTAACTGTTGCAAAATCCATTCGTTCCGCGTTTCCTTTCTCGACACGTCGTTTTTATTAATCTATTTCATGATGTTTAGAGCCTGACCCAATTTCTTTTCTGCAAGACGGAAAATTGTTATTCACTTACCTTATCCGAATCTGTCAGTTTCCTGAGGCACACATGGTTTTGTATAGTTTGACAATGAAATATGTGGTTTTCCGGGCAACATCTTATCTTAACTTGGTATACTGGTAGATTACATTGGCTTTTTTAGGTGTCCGTTTCATTACCGAACTTGACGATTCGGTTGCAAACTTTCCATCGTCAGACGACATGGCTTCATCAGTGAGGAGTAATACTTGGTTGTATGATTACATACTGGATATCACATCATTTACGGACAAAGCGTTAGCAATTTGCCAACCTTGGCAAGCACATGACAATCTGAGCATATTCTCCTGTATGTTTGCTTCTCCACCCCATTCTTTTTCTCTGAAATCACGATCACTATTCTGCCCGCCCCTGTCTATAATTAGTTTTACTTGAACAAAGCCCTTTTATTGACTTTCATTACTTAACGTATTGTGCTTGTGTATAACCAATCCCCATCATGACTAACCCTCGCACACTGCTATCGGCAGCCTGTTGTACACTTTTCATTGTGCGATTTATTGGGTACGCAGTCCAACTTCCCGGCTGTTTGCAGCACCTCATTTAATCCAACTGCTTTTGCGCGCGGTTCCCTATGCGCTTCTTCTTTATTGCCATATTAGACAGCTTTGTGAGTGCCCCTCTCCATTCTTTTGTGCGTAACGTTTCCCTATTAATTTATTGCTTGTTCTTCCTATCTTTTGCTTCCTTGTGTATTCTTCGGTCAGTTGCTTTTCCAGTTTGGTGTTTAAGTCACGATCACTCCATCTGGGTTTAATATTAAATGACCGGATTAACGACCACCAGAATATTTGAAACATTTAGTTCCCTTTGGTAATTTGAAAAGCGCAGTGCGAAGACGAGTCAAGCTGCTTGTCTGCGTAAGCCACTAGCCTCTTCGATCGGCCGACACTTATTGACCACCTGTCACCGAGTCGAGGTCACTTCGGCGTTTACCATCCTGTTACAGCACACCAATTCTCTCCTCTTCCGTTTCGCAGAGACGGTTGCAATTAGCCGGACTAAGCCGCTGCTTTGTGTTCAGAAACAATTATCGGTCAGCATTAGACTGCCCTGGAGATAGAGGTGATAACCCTGTCTCGATTATCGTGTGTTGGTCTGTTTGCATGTATGTTTTGTCGCGCCCTTCGCTGAATAAACATTATTACGAGTTATTGTTAAAGGCACTGATGAGACAATACGAAATGCGTGCATTTGCCAGCCTTCGTCTTCTTACTGCGCTTTCCCGACCACCAGAATAGCCTTTTCTTTTCGTTCACTCTTGTCTTGTCGCCACTGAAGCATCTATTTTACCTCTCGCCAGCTGGATTTGACGTTAAACATGTCTGATGTCACCGCGCTGCTGTCCTACTATTAAGACGGCTGAACAATACCTTGACTCTTCCCGCATTGCCCAACCATATTTTCTCTTTTTTCTGTTTGCATAACTCCGTTTGACCTAGTCTGATTGCGTTGGCCATAGTGGTAAACAAGCATCGCTTTCAGAGTCCTTTGTGTGGCAATACTTCGCTATCCACCTAGACGCGCCTGCTTGTGTGTCTGTGGCGTCTAGCACCACTGGTGAATGTGGACCGATTTACCATTTCACATTACTCTACACAGTGCCGTGACACAGCCCCGAAAGGAACCAACAAGCATTTCTTTGTCACTGTTGATGCTATTGCAATCAAGCTACTACAGCCGGAGTTGTACGGACCATCCTTTTTCCTTCATTATATTAAGATTCTTTTTCTATTATGTTTTATAGGGCCCGTGCGGCGTCCCGTTGGTGGTGGTCCTCGTTCAATCCGGTTCGCAGGTGCTCCTGGTCGTGGTGGTGGGACCACTTTCCGTGGTACTTCCGCAGGAGTGGCACAACCTTCCTGTTGATTGACACTAGCCATGGCATCCACCATTGTTGCCTTGTTTCCGTTGCTTTTCTTGCTGGTTCGTTAAACTCATTATTCCAGAATCACCGCTGTGTAAAATATCTAAGTTAAGACTATTGTTTCAGCTTGTAGGAGTCCATTTTACCCTCCGAAATCGGATTAAACTGCATCTTGGTATGCTACTTAGCTTTGCGGATTATTCTCACCGTTTAATTCGCTCTTCGATATTGTTCCTCTTCTCCGAAAAAAACAAACATTTATTGCGGCTTTTACTGGTTCATCGGATAGTGCTTCGTTTTTCACCAATATACCGTTGGTTTTGATGTACCGTTCTCACTGAACTGGGTTCGAAGGACAGCTATTCTGAACCATGTTCAAGTCTATAAGGAAGACTAACACAAATTTTGGACAGGCACACTCTAATCAAGCTTTTGGAGTCATCATCAATGCATTAACCATATGGGGTTTTCGTATCACCAGCCTTTTTGATCTACTTAGAACTAACTAGCAGGTGATGTTTTGATCATGGGAAACTACTGAACATCTACTCAGACATCCCGTCGTGTCACATCGCTGCCTGCATCCTGGAAAGCTTTTTCAATCACCTGCTGACTTGCACCAGAAACATTCAGTTCCAGCCTAACGGGCAAGTTGGTGCTTCGGCTATTGACCCCTAATCTACGCGTACGGAACTAAGGTTTGTGTACGCAGTAACAGCTGGTCGCAGCAACGGTAAGGCTACAGAACACGTCGAGCTGATAACACGCAGCGTTTATTGTGACAATAATCATATACAGTGCGTCGATCCTTCAGCTGTGACCAGTTTGTCAATGAGTGGGTGAGTGATAGACGGACTTTCACACATGGACAGCCAATGCTAGTTGTGTGAACATTCACCTAGCGATGGTTCTTTCGCCGCAACTGCGAAGGTCGTTTACGGGGAAAACCTGAGCAGCTATCAATAGAACACCGATCACTCCTAGTTTGCTGTGATTGGCTCCCTGATGGATTATTCGACCACGTATAACCGAACCTCCAGCCTCGCATGCAGCAATGCAACATCTAATATAGAATCGTAACTCGGTGGTCGGGCAGCGCTGTTCGCAGCCCGGGTCATTCCGGAGGTAAGTGCGTTGAGATGCAGCACAGATTCCGTTCTAATGACGCCGATAGCAACTCTGATGAATTATTTGACGGGTTCGTGGAAGTTATCAATAAAGGACCCGCTTTCAAAGGACTCTGATTTCGTCCGGTATGTATGCAAGCGTTACAGGTTCGCTCCGTGGGGCTGGTAGTGCCGACGGCGATCTAATTGTCTGCTTGTATTACAACGGATTTCAGATTTTTTCGCTCCAACGATTGGTGGTGACGCTAGACGGATGCTAATAGGCACAATTTCTACCCGTATGTGCTGATACTTTTGGTTCTAGTTCACCGAGATAATGATGAAATCGATTGCAGAGTGCGGTTTTGGAAACTATCAAACCATAATATATATCTAATAGAGGCATAAGTCCAACCGTCACGACAACTACATACTTCCAATGCAGTACAGATCGTTTGCGCGACTTCCACCTTGGTCAAAATTGATCTCGGTCTCTCCCAACGATGTCGCATTTCATAGAGCTCTTGACAGCGAAGCTCACTCTGTGTGTGACGTATTCAATGCCATCACAAATCCCCAAGCGGTATCACACCATGTTAGTCTCGTCAACGTACCTTCACCCTCGCCCAAAATCGATGCTTTGTTCTACGGTGTTGACTGAATCCTGACCACAGATGTTGAGAGAGGGGTAGTCCGACTCGATAAAATTTCCAACTAAGCCGGTAGTTGATTATCGCTCTGGATAACCAGAAACACATTTGTGGCCTACTGAGAATGACCATGAACTTCGCACTATGCTTGTCCGGCTGGGATCTGCTGCTGTGCAGTGCCTCATTCATGAAATCGGAGAAGTAGCGCTACGTGGAAGCTAACAACGAAATGTTTTCTTTTCAGGATTTGCAAACTTGGGATCCTGAGTTGTAGCGAGAAATGCTGCTAGTTTTAGACAGGTTGGCTAATGAACTATGTATAGGGATGCTACTTGGACACCGGTCCCACCTAAGAGGCGTGCCGGGTACGAGAATACGGAGAACAGTCGAATCGGCTGGACAGGTGCTACACAAAATTGAGAGTAGAAAGCAATTCAACGGCACGACTCACGGGGAGAGCGCAAGTGCATCGGATGTATCATCAGTGCAGCAAATGGACGGTCAGAAGGTTTAAACAAGAATAAAGTCCCATATCACAAGATACTGGGAACGTACGTGTTTCAAGTTCGCTACTGGGTTCTCCTCTAGATGCCTGAGTGAGTGAAGCCTTCAGTAGAGATGCCAGGGGAGGATGGGAGAGTATGACAGCAACTAGAGTGGGCGCAAGCGGACAGAAAAGGGGCGCATGGAGTACGTTGGGTCCATGCTTCTCTGTTCTTTTATTGATTGGGCATGGACTGGGGGGCATGCTCGGAGTGGACTTGTCGGACTACAAAAATCTGGCTTGTCTAGAACAAGGCCAACAGGACATTTCCTCTGCTGCATGCTCGACGGTGCCTTTTGGAAGTGCCACTCCTCCACCGCACCCCAGTTCACGGCCAAGGCGATTCTTGTCACGTGGAACATCTCAGGCACCGTTGTTGGAGAAAAGTGTGGGCAAGCGCTCACGGGCCAGACTAGCCGTTGTCAGCAACTGTAGAGTGGGGAGTGGCAGTCGTTTCAGGCCAGCGCGATGTAGCCTGCGTCTTCGAGCCCGTTGGCCAGAAGACGCCGCGGGTTTTCATGTGCCTTTGGTTCTGACATGCAAAATTCGGGGAGGGTGGGACGTGGTCGGTGATACTTATTAGTCACAGTAAGTAAGAACGAGAGCGTATGCTTTATAGGGCTCAGAAACCACGGTATGGAGAACAACTTTGAACAGGACACTGTGTACTTAATAAGTGGCAGAACACCACGACACGCATTCAGTAGCGACACAATAAACTTGGCGTTTATGTGCGTTGTTCATCAAGCTGAGTGGGTTAGGGTCTGATCTTTAGTACACACGTGACATCCCTCCCCCCGTAGATGTCATTACATTCCAGGCTCAAAGCAAGCCACTGGTTTAAGAATGCGGATGGATCGCCTCGGCAACGTTTCACTAGCCTGTGCGTTCAGTTCGCACTCAGTACCTTGGTCTGCGCACAATCCGGTCTGTGTCTCGTTTGGTTTGTCTTAAGACCGTGGACCAATGTGGTCTGAGTGTCAACGATTTGGGCGACCGTCTAGAAGTGATACGTCGTTTTGGCTTGCCGAGGAAAGAATTACGGTGACAGACTGCCAGTGTGTTTCTTTTGTCAATTTAGTGTAGGCCTAGTTGTTTTCCTCAATAGTCGCATCCTTCACCTCATCTGAAGACAGACCTCTTCTGTCGCTCTTCTCTCCCCTTCTGTGGAAACAGTAGATTCAGCCTTACCTGAGGTTTCTGCCAAACATCAGCTCTGCAGTTGACTTACCCTTGTAATGGGAGTATGCACTCGAACGAACGTGCGGTGCCAGCCCAGCAAGGAAGCCGTTAGGCTGCCGCAAGGAAAGGCTGCAGCTAATTGGACGTTCACACGTTTCTCGCATGCACGCTGGTTGGCCAACACTTGGACGCATTGGAGTGAGTTTGTTTGACTGAATCAAAGGAAAAATGTCATGCATTCACAAAAGTCATTAATTATGGATCCACTAGCTGGATATACC